AATATGTAAAACAACAAAATAAAATATACGTGTTTAAGAGTTTTTCCGAAAAACTCACCGGTTTTTAAATAAAAAATATTTTAATATTTGAGGGATAGTTTCACCCCCTTAGAATTCGACTTTCGAAAAATTCCTTCTTATCGAACCTCTACACCCTAAACTCAATCTTTTTTCCAAAAATCAGCTTTTTACGTCAAGCGTTTTATTCGGATCGTGATTAATCAATGACCAGATTTTTCGAAACACCCTGTATACATTTTTAAAAAATCTTAAAATATGTAAAAGAACAAAATAAAATATACGTGTTTAAGCGTTTTTTCGGAAACTTGACCGTTTTTTAAATAAAAAATATTGTAATATTTGAGGGGTGGTTTCACCCTCTTGGAACTGGAATTTCGAAAAATCCCTTCTTATCGAACCTCTACACCCTAGAATCAACCTGTATGCCAAAATTGAGCTTCTTACGTTGAGTGGTTTAAGCAGGATCGTGATTAATTAGTATGTCAGTCACTTAAGGATTTTATATATTAGTATAGATTAAAATAATAATTTATGTATTTACAATAATTATAAATACATCTCTCCAGCACACCAAAAATTATCATTTCTGCTAGAATTAATTACACCGATAAAATATTTTCTTGAATCAAAATTCTTGTCCCTTAATTATATGTCTTTAATATACAAGGTGTCCGAATATTCCGTGGAAGTATTTATGGAATCAAAATAAGTTAATTGAACACAATTTCCCTCTATACAAAAATGCTTGGTTGTTCCGTCAGAAGGCAGGAAATCAAAGATAACACCTACCGTTAATTAATTTAAAATTTATGTAGCTTACTGTCATTTGTGATACTAACTTAACAACATTCCACATTTTCGCGAATTAGATTCTTATCGCCTATATACTAGATTTTAACGCTTGATATGATATGCAAAATTTCGTAGGTCAGCTTCGGAAAAACATTTTGTTTCCCAAAAACTATGCAATGTGTCGTTTTTTACAAAAGATAAAAAATGTAGGTAAAAAATACGAGAAGGGCCTAATTACGAAAAAAATCAGTTAGGTTGTAACACATTTCTACTTAAATTTATGCAGGGGTGGGGCTAGTCTTCCCCTTGTTTCCTACCCCAATACATCAAAACACTTTACTTTTGCACTGGACCCGCGTTTCGCTAACCATGTTACCAGATCCATGTCAGCAGATGATTAAAACTGGTTTAAACTTTTATTTTGCTGTTTAACACCAAAGTTTCCAACCATCCACTGTAATCTCCCACCCTACTTAAAATTATTTTTATTTTTTAAAATGCCGTCTATTGGAAAATTGAAGCACCTTTGTATAAAGGTAAATTATGTCCAATCAACTTTTTTCATTCCAAAAATACGTAGTAGATAGATCAACGTCCACGAAATATTTGGACACCCTGTGTCTCGATGTGTCTGATATTTTGCGCCAAGTAACTAATTTCCATTAACAGGAGTTAAGTACTCAACTGACAACCATTGCATTGAATTTATATTTATATCAATGTACAGAGTGTCCCATTTTGGTTGAAATCATACGGTATCTTCGTTATTCATGAAGATAGAAGGGTGCGGTTTGCACAAACCTGTGCCACTTTTTGTCAAACGAGAGATGCCGTAAACAAAATTTTCATAGCCCTCTTTGTCTCTGAGCTTCAGGGTCTTTTTGAAAATTTTGCAATTTGGGACACCCCCTGTATCTCTGTCATTATTAAAGGTATCGAAAAGGTGAAAACTGTTTATTGTAGAACTTTTTACGTAGAATACAGTGGCGTAGTCTGTTATTGTACGAAAAAAATATTTTTAAAGACATGAACTAAAGTTATGTTTTTTTTAAATGGAACACCCTGTATATTTATAAATTATATGATCTGACTTGCCATGAGCTTCTCAAAAATAGATATCACTCTATATTTATTTTCACTATTTAGTGCAATATTTAAAAAAACATATTAAAAGATCAAATTTATTAGTAGGCCTTGATGGATAATAGAAGAAACTAAAGAATTATTAAAACTATACTTTTCTCTCTGTCTCTTGTTTTATTTTGAGAGCCACTATTAAATTCTTTATATATTAGGGAAACTTAATTCTCTACCGCTGTTCGTAAATCTTGGAAGCTATCGTATCGGGACTTTTAAATGCTCCTTTAGCTAATTTACGTGAAATATACTTTCATCTAAGATGGGGCTCCCGGGCTCCCCCTCACAACTTAACTTACAACGTAAATATTACAATTTTGTTAAATTATTATTTCTCAAATCAATGAATTGAAACCAATGCACCCATGTGATGGCCCCCCTTATTCCCGGATTTATCCGTTCTCGATTTCTGACTTTTAGGATTTTTGAAATATGAAATATATCGTGGCAACTAACACAATGTCGAACCCCTGGAAAATGCTTTAATAATGCAAGTTTTTAGATATTTGCAAAACCCATCCCGTTATAATAAATTCCGTTATAAAAAAAGAACACTATATTCAGAGATTCAGGGGTAACAGTTTAAAAGTAAAATATATCAATTCCAAATAAAATTTTAATATTTGTAGGACTATTTTAGTAAATACCATTTTGGGGATTTTTTGTTATTTATCACGGCCTACTAATAAGAACATGATATATTTTAAATATTGCAGTAAATAGTGAAAATAAATATAGAGTCATATATATTTTTGAGAAGCTCATAGCAAGACGGATCATATGATTTATAAATATACAGGGTGTTCCATTTAAACTTTAGTTCATATCTTCAAAAATATTTTTTTCGTAGAAAAACAGACTACGTCACTCTATTCTACGTAAAAAGTTTTACAAGAATCAGTTTTCATCCTCTCCATATCATCCATAATAACGGAGATACGCGGTATACTGTCCCAAATTGCAAAATTTTCGAAAAGACCCTGTAGCTCAGAAACGAAGAGGGCTATGAAAATTTTGTTGACAGCATCTTCCGTTTGACAAAAAAGTGGGGTAGGTTTGTGCAAACCGCATCCTTCTATCTTTACTAATAACGTATGATTTCAACCAAAATGGGACACCCTGTACACCAAAATCATGAATATAATTTATTTTAAAAATACACATTAACATCTCTCGATTTCACATCCAAGAACAAAATATTGAGTGTATTGTGTAAATCCTGTATTTGTCGCTTTAGAGATACCTAAATATAGTTCTATATTTATTTATTTAGATATCATTCTATTCTAATAATCCCTAGACCCTATCATCCAATTATCTTAATTTATAAATAATGTTTAAAAGATAAGTAAGCAACACAAATGGTTTATTCGAAAATAACGCCATATTATTAAATGAGTAGTTAATTACGGACATTATTCAGGAAGAATAACGAGGAAGTTTAATAATAACCAAGAATATTGTAATAACCAAGAACTTTAAAATGTCAAAATATTCTTTAATAAAGAGATGGTAACAGAAGATGCTAATGAAGTATTTTTTGAAAAGATCATCTTAAACAATTACCTTTCAATTTTTTTTTAAAAAATGCCACAAAATATATAATTCAAAAAATCATCGGTCATCGGTTCATAACCAACATGAGTTAGATATATCCACACTGCATAATTAAAGTTGGTCTATTTAATCTGGCGACCTCACGTCACTTTGGCCTACCCAGATATTTTCTGAATACTCTATTCCATTGATCGTCTAGTGACACCAAGTCACAGTATTGTGATTCAAACGGTTCTTTCAATAAATATCCTGTGTATTTATTTAATACTTATTATTGAAAAATTATCGAGGAAAATGTCGCTATTTCGGTATTAACACTGCAAATAAGTCTGAGTATATTGCTGTTCAATTTATTAAACAATGTGTACGAAAGCGTGGACTTTTTCCTGTTTATCAAAAACAGATAACTAACCTAATGATTCGAGGGGTCAAGTAATTATAAGAAAATTATTTACTGTTATTTGATTTAGTTTTAGGGTTTCATATTTTATTATATTTCCAACCTAAAAAACTAGAATCATTTTGATATGGTGTTTCTATGGTTTCTTTTTATGTGAAAATTATTTACATTTTCTACAGATTTTCATTATTAACATGAACAAATGAAATAATGAAGCGTAATCGACTAATTTTTGATCTCTATATACAAAACATCCAATTAAACAAAATCAGAAAAATATTCAAAAGAAACATTTCATCAATCAACTGCAGAAGTAATCGACTTCTATTAGCTGACTTAAACAGCTAATAACAATGTTTCAATATATATTATATTCAATCGGTACGACGACGTTGTCCGATGTCTTATACTCTTTCTATTCTCCCATTAGCTCCCAAATCATTCAATTCAAATGTTAAATAGTACTAATTCTCGCATTAGTAACTGATTTCATTATCAGTAACTACATAGAATAAGTGACTGCAACTGTTGTAAATGGCAGAGTACAAAAATTGCCACAAAAAATATACAGAAGACAATAAACGACCTAACTTTGTACTTTTGTATTTGAAGTTTTGTCTCATCGTTTGTCCGTTAGAGGGCATCAAATTTTTAAAAACTTTAAAGTCACTAGAAAAAAATAAATGCATTTTTTAAGATATTTTAAGAACAGATATTTCAATTTGAATTAGATTTGGGGTGCCTATATTTTGCTAAACGCTTTAGCATTTGTCATTTGTCACAAAAAAAATGCGGGGTGGGTGGCAACTACCCCCACCCCTAAATAAATTCTAGTAAAAATATTTGCCAACGACAACGACAATTGATTTTTTTTTGTAAAATGGTCCTTCTAGTATTTACTACATTTTTTATTCCTTCTAAAAAACGCCACCAAACACAATGGCAATCAACCTAGAATATATTTCCCTAGTACAAAAATTGATGACACATATGAGGGAGGTAGCCTACGCTCTGTATGTATTTGATATCCCAACAATAATGCTTAAATAATGACGAGGTAAAGAATAAGACAGTATAATTTTTAGATACGAACCTTTAACGACGTGCGCTATCTTCTTCGCCTCTCCAGCCTTGTCCTCCAAACTGAGCGGATCTTTGATAATTTTGTAGCTGGCCTGTTTGGCATTCTGGTCCTCCTTCAAATCCGCCGAGGCCTTCCTCTTACGTTGCGCGCCGATCTTGCCGTCGCCTTGAAACTCGTCTTCGTCGATTTTCAGCTGACCCCAAGCGAAATACTCTTCACCCTTGTCCATGACACAATTCGGTAAATTCCAAGACTCTTTGGAACTGGAGGAGGTGGTTTCGTTCAACAAGATGTCAGAACTCTCATACAATTTGTACTCCATAATAAGACGACGAAGAGGAGAAACGATAGCTAGATGGGCTAGATGATAACACGACTATCGATGAAAATGAAAGCTGAAGAAGGCCCGATGATGAAATGATCTCTAAAACGACTTCTTTTCTACCTTTTTACGAAGGGGATGATAAACGCGATAACGCCCCCTTTGCGATGCAGTTCAGCGCGAGTAACGAAACAACGAAAAACGAAAAAAAAACGAGCTGCGTCGCGGATTTCTTCTTAAAACATGACGAAGAAGGAATTATACAATTTCTTGATTCCCGTCGTTTCTCGCTGGCGCCGATTTTGCAGGAAGCTGTTGTCGATGTTTAGCATCTTAATTTGCAGGAAACGTGACTCAATATCCATTTATCACGAGGGTAACCGGATGCCGACCCTTGCGCTTAAGGGTGAGTGCGGACGAGCGCAAACCCAAATAGTTGACGAGAGCTGGAAGGCTGAGCCGTCTTGGCGAATACCAATCTGAAGCAACGTCTGGAATGGACTGTCGACTTGAAGAATGACAACGTTGAAATCACCGAAACGACTCCCTTCTATCGACGACACTGGTGCACGCACTCTGGCTGGCCAATGGGGACCGGATAAATGATATCTGGCTGGTGAAAAATGCCAGAGGCGACTGAGAGTGTGGAGCAGTCGAAATGACGTCCGTAGAGCGGGCAAATTTACTTAAATTAAGTCCAATTGACGAGGAGGAGGCGGCCAAGGTACTGAAATGAATAAGATGGAGTCGGTGATGAGAGACGATGAAAGCAACGACGAAGTTTAAATAAAGCCTCTCTTTTTCTCCCGTTTGGGAATGAAGAAGGACGATGTCCTCACCAGTTTAAACGGATCGATCGTTGAGACTAAATCCTCTTGGTCGAAAATTGAATACATTCAGTATCTGGAACAAAACAATTAACATTACTATACGTTTAAATGTATGTATAATAGAATTAGGTTGTCCCTATTAATCTGTAAAACTACACTCTCTATACAATATAATTTAACTCTTTATTTTAACTTTTTAACTAACAAATTAAAGTACCAATTCCACTAATAAAATTGATGATATATTATTAATCAATTGTCACAGTTCAAAAGAACATGTTTTAGTGTATTTGAATAAAATTGTGCAGTCATATATATTTCCAACTAAGTGACATGTCAATAATATTTAATTTTACTATTGAAGCAAGTCTGATTTTATATTTAGAGAAATGATAGGGGGCCACATAATACCACATGACGACATGACAATATACCTATAGAGATGCCAAAAATTGGCCATTATAGCTAAAAATATCTCAGAACAAAGAATTAGTTCTTCTATAATAATTTTAGCATTATCCTGATTTCTCCTCTGCACTAACACATAGATATGGATGCAGAGGAGCAGGTAAAATTTCATAATTACATAAAATATTATGAATATAGTTATCTCGATAGAAATATAGTAGACAGAAAAAGTCAGTATGAAAATGTAAGTTTCATATTGTTATTTTTTGCAGTAATTTTCATTCCCACAATCTATAACATCTACATTAAATCGGAAACATACAAATAATGGTTGAAGAATATAATTGTGATTGTGATAGTTGTTGTTTTATCACTCTAAATAAATCACGGGTAAATTATTGTAAGTTTGGTGTTGACAGACGACATGTATTGGACCTTTAGACACCATCGAGGACACAACACTATCATGTATGTCAATATAATCTTTAGTTTCTTCCGAATACGGTATCTGCTCAAAAAAAAATAATTTCATTATAAATCAGTATTATTTACACTTAATACAGGTACCTAAATTCAACAATTTCCGAATTATGAAGTTTTGATTTTGAAATATTAAACGAAAATTTTGTAATTTCCAGACGTGATATAATCTCATTTTATACATCTATAAATGCTAACTTGAAAGCTAATGACAAAAATATTATTAAGTATCACAGTTTCTGCAGAATGGCATCGTTAAATGAAACAGAACACATCGAGATTAATTAAATCGAATTGTTTAAATGATATTCTCAGAAGTCAATAACTCGGAAACGGTTGGTTTGAGGTACAGTTTGTATATCTCGATTTTTTCTCGCTTAAAATTGAAGGAAGAACCGAAATATGCAATAATATACAGGGGTTTCAATTTAAAAAAATAAAACTTTGATATGCCACGAGTTTATGACTGACACTGTATACTTAAATTTATTACCCGCTAATTGATATTGAAAAACCCTATAACTTTTATATTTAACTTTTTGCGGTACCTCTTATATTTTACCTAATAATCGACCGTTCCCATACATATCAGCGACCTTGTATATTGTTTACACTTAAAAAACTGGAGTACTGGATTCTGTTGATGGAATGGGTTGTTGACTGGATATGTTTCTTTCGTGAAGTTTTCACTAAATCTATGTTAATGGATTCAACCTCAGAGCAAAGATAATTCTACTATGAAACTATAGTTTTCTTTGCTCAGTGTTAATATTTATTCACTCTATTTTCCCTGTCATCAGATAATTAAACCATTAAATAATGATAAATCCGATCCCTGTAAATACCCGATATCACTATAAAGAAAAAAAGAAATAAGTTTTTTATACGCATATGAATTATTACTGTTGGGAACTAGAAGTACCACAACTTTCCTATTACTAACACATAAAACTTTAAATAATCTCAATTAAAGTTACTGTGCGAACAATCACATACAATTAAAAAATAATTTATTTTTATTTAACTAAAACTACATTTTTACTATAATATTACGTTAAATACCGCATGATCGAAAAAATCGGCGGCAAGGACGGCTGCGGAGTGTGTCGGTCAATCTCTAGACGTCATTTTCTAAAAATTTACATAAAACTTGTCAAAAATTAACACTAAATATAGAAATATTAAAAATAATAGAACGTTTCCAGACACACAAATCTATTACCAAAAAATATTTTTTCTCGAATTTTGAATTATATAATAGCTCTAAAAGGCTCATGGCTTGAATGGTTATCTTTCTCCATTTGTTTCTGTCTTTCGCCTTTATTCTCCACCCATCCTTCTCAAGTCCTCTTCTACATCCTTTTTCCATCTGGTTCTCGGTCTATCCCTCCTCCTCTTTCTACCTATTTCCCGTTTCATTATCATACTAGGAATTCTTGCTTCAGCCATTCTTTCTTGTGTCCCAGCCATCTCATGTGTCCCAGCCATCTCAGTCGTTGTGCTCTTGCTAGTCCCGTTATACTAGGTGCTCGATATAGTTGCTTTAGTTCTTCATTTGTTCTTCTGGTCCATATGTTGTCTATCTTCTTTCCTCCAAAAATCTTCCTCAGTATTTTCCTTTCCCAAATCTCCAGCTTCAAACTTTCCGTTGCATTGAACGTCCACGTTTCACATGCATTCACTATTGATATTGGTCGTATCATTGTTTGGTACATTCTGATTTTTAAACTTCTAGAGATGTTCTTACTATTAATAATTTTCTGTAGTGCGCTAACACATCTATTTCCTACCATTATTCTTGCCATAATTTCTTGAGTTACCTTCGGTCCTCCAGCCTCTACCTCACAGGTACCTCAGCCGAAGACTAGCTCCTCGACTGTGAAGGGCACGGAGGGCCAAACCCCAACCGTGGAAGGGTGTATATCCTCGAAGAAGGTTGATGGCCACTTCTCGGAGGAGGAACTTCCGTTGTCAGAGGAAGATGAGGAATACCCTATCCCCTCTACAACGGGAGAATCCTCACACACCCCAGTAACCTAAACCAGGTCCAAAGTCCTACTCCAGCCCCTCTTCCCACCCCGAACTTATCCTTTCTTCCTCCCCCCCCCCATGCATGGGATATCCCAAATAAACCTGCACCATGCAAAAGGGTCTTCCGCTACAATAGCAAGACTCTTTGAGAAAAATCATTATGCAATGGTACTAGCCCAGGAACCCTGGGTGTATCAGGGACAAATTAGAGGTTTGTCTGGAAAAATTCAAAGGTAATATATGATAACAGGCAGGAATTTCCCCGAGCCTGTATTCTTATAAGAAAGGACATTAACTACACATGTGTTTCAGAATTTACAACCCGAGATCTTGTTCCTATCATGGTTCAGCTTAATATCGAGGATTGCAGTAAAAACATCGTGATTGCCTCTGCTTACTTTCGGGGTGACGGGGAGGCACCGCCTCCGGAGGTACGGGAGCTAGTGCGATTCTGCAGCCAACGGCGACTACCTCTGCTATTGGGATGCGACTCCAATACACACAATGAGGTATGGGGAAGCACTAACACTAACACTAGAGGTGAGTGTTTACTTGAATTCCTCTTAGCATGCAATCTTGAAGTTCTCAATGTAGGGAACAGCCCAACGTTTGTGACAAAAACGTGGGCAGAAGTGTTAGATTTAACAATCGGGAGTGCTGGTGTAATCAGTTACGTGAAACAATGGAGGGTCTCAACGGAACCCTCCCTATCAGATCACAGAATCATCGAGTTCAAATTGGGAGGAATCACACCCCAAACAGAAACTCGAAGGAATCCAAGAAAAACAGACTGGGACATATATAACACCAATCTCGTAGACAACCTAAACCGTATAGATGCAAGTAGGGCCAGAAACCATCTGCATCTAGAATGGTACGCAAGGGAAGTCAGCGATGCATATGAATCTAGTTGCCCCGCAAGTAAAGGCATACAAAAAAGTAACAACAAGCCCTGGTGGAACAAGAAGTTGGCCAAACTTAGATCGGAGGTCCGACGACTCTTTAATAGAGCTAAATCCAGTGGCGAATGGCAGCTCTACAGCGAGAAATTAACTGAGTATAAGAAGGAGATAAGAAGGGCAAAGCGGTCTGACTTTAGATCCTTTTGCGAAAACATCACTTCTACTCCTGATGCAGCTAGATTACACAAAGCTATGGCCAAGAGTGGATCTATCCCCAACATGGCACTTAAGAAATCTGACGGAAGCTACACGAGGGAGAGGAAGAAGAGAGCAAATCTCCTACTTTTTACACACTTTCCAGGTAGCATACCTATTGATACTTATGTAGCTCCCACTGAACCCCCACAATCCTTGCAGGGAAGATTGGGAAGTGGCCAAGCTAGTAATAACAGAACAAAAGCTGAAATGGGCGATCGACACCTTTCAGCCCTATAAAGCAGCAGGAGTGGATGGGATCTTTCCTGCCCTTCTAAAGGAGGGTCAGCAAATAGCTACTCACCATCTACTAAGCATTACAAGAAGCAGTCTAGCGATGGGATATATACCAACCACATGGAGAAGAGCAAAAGTAATCTTCATACCCAAAATAGGCAAAACTGACTGGACAAATCCCAAGTCATTTAGGCCTATTTGTCTCACATCGTTCATACTAAAAACGCTGGAGAAAGTAGTTGACAACCATATTGGAGAAAATCATCTAAAGGTTAAACCACTGCATGATAGTCAGCATGCATATAGAACGGGCAGATCCACAGAAACTGCTCTGTACCAATTAACGGAGCTAATACAGACAAGTCTGGATAGCAAAGAAACAGCAATTTGTGCCTTCTTGGATATTGCGGGGGCGTTTGACAATATACCACATAAGGTGGTCAGGCGATCTCTAGAAACAAGAGGGGTGAACAGAACTATTATTCGCTGGTTTTGGGAAATGCTGTCAACACGAACAGCAGAGGCTCAGATGGGCACCAAAACTGTAGCTGTTAAAACAACGCAAGGAACTCCACAAGGTGGAGTAACCTCCCCTTTGCTGTGGAGCTTGGTGGTGGATGAACTACTAGATGAATTAACTCTAGCGGGAATACACTGCATTGGGTATGCAGATGACATAGTCATGATCGCTCGGGGGAAACATGAAGGCACCTTGTGTGATATTATCCAAAGAGGACTCCGTATCACTGAGAGATGGTGT